CCGGGATTTTGCTTGCAATTGCGGACGGCCGTCTCGACCCTCTGACCATGTTTTCGACCCTGAAAATTAAAATTCAAATAAATTAATTAGAATGCATGCCTATGACAATAAAAACGAAACGAAAAATTAAAGAAAACTAAGAAACACTATAAAGCTCGGGTTGCCTCCCGAGAAGCGCTAAGTTTAAAGTCTTCAGCCGGACGTTGCTTCGTTATTTTCAAGCAAAAGTGACCGAGGTCACTTGGCGATCTTCACTCGCTTCCCAATATGGCTTGAGCCGGCTCCGCTTCACGTTGAACGTACGGTTTGAATCTCGGTCCTTTATTTTGACCACTTCGTGAGGAAGAATCTCTTGGACAATAAATGGTACCGACCACTTTGATTTGCGCTTCCTTGGGAATAACCACAGCCTTGATTTGCACAATAACACCAATTGTCCTTTGTGGAATTTCCTTTTGACTTTCTCCTTACGACCACAATAGCTTGACTCATCCTACTCTAGTGACTTGCTCGAGTCTTTGGGTGCCAACATCTTCCTTGCACTCTCATCGCCGTTAAGACTCAAACTCGTATGACTTTCTCTCGGAGGAGTTGAAATTGAGTCCATGAAGTAAACTTGCTCCTTCCGATTTTCGTTTCCGCCATCATCTCATGCATTCAAAGATGCTTTCCCATTGTCCAAGATCGAAACATCAAACTTTTCATTATTTGTAAAATCCATAAGCTCAATCGCAAAACAATCATTATTATGACATGGATTTTTATTAGCTCTAAAAACATTGAATTTTATTGTTTGATCATGCACAGTCATTGTAAGATCACCACTAGCACAATCAATGAGAGTTTTCGACGTGGCTAAAAATGGCCTCCCTACGATAAGAGGTATCTCCCTATCCTCATCTATATCAAGTATAACGAAATCTACAGGGAAGATAAATTTATTAACCTTCACTAACACATTCTCTAAAATACCTTTTGGGTAAACTAAAGATCTATCGGCTAATTGAAGAGTTATAGCCGTCGGTTCAATTTCTCCTAACCCAAGGTTTTTAAAAGTAGAATAAGGCATAAGATTAATGCTAGCGCCTAAATCAATGAGTGATCTAAAAATTTTACCTGCTATAGTACAAGGAATAGTAAACTTACCTGGATCGCCGAGTTTTTGTGGAAGAGGCCGAGTAAGAATTGCACTAATTTGCTCCGTGAGTTGGATCATCTCGTTCCCTTGGAATTTCTTACTTTTCTTTACGAGGTCCTTGAGGAACTTCACCAACTTTGGCATCTTTTGAAGTGCTTCAATGAAAGGAATATTTATGCGAATTTCCTTCAAATTGTCCAAAAATCTTTGATATTCGGCGTCGAGCTTCTTCTTTATAAACTTTGGAGGATAAGGAATTGGAGGGACTTGTGAAGGGACCGTCGATGGTGGCTCTTCATGAGTTGATTCTTTTTCCTCATTCTTTTTCAGCTTCTCGATTACCGTGTTTCTCTTCTCTTTTTGTGGGGCTTCCTCCAATTGCTTACCGTTCTTCAAGGTGACTGCTTGGCACGTCTCGACCTCGATCTTTCTCGTTAGCAATCTTTGTGGATATGGGATTGGCTCGACCCATTCGGCTACTGTGACTTGCGGCTTGACTTGAATTTCTTCTTTTTTCTCGATCTTGAAATCGATAGCTTGGCACGTCTCGAACTTTTGCTTTCGAGGATCTTCCGTATTTGATGGCAATGCTCCCGCCGGACGTTTCTCTTGATTCACAACGAATTGAGCGAATCGATTCTCCAAATTCCGCAACGAGGCTTGGGTAGCGGTCATGAATTGGGCCAATATCTCATCCGTGTTTGATTTTTGGGCCGGTGGATTGTTGCCTTCATAGCTTTGTTGAGGAGGGGCTTGATTTTGGAATTGACCTTGAGGTCTTTCATATCCTTGGCTTTGTTGATTTCCTCCATATTTCCCTTGTGATCTCCACCATTGATTTTGGAATTAGCGAGGCGCATTATTGACGTAGTTGAGCGATTCCACATCTTTTTGGCATTGGAGCGTGTAATGATTTCCACCGCAAATTTCAAAACATGGTGAATCAACGGCTTGGACTTATTGTGGTGGATTTGCTTTGATGTGATGTAGAAGGAGTTGATTTTGTTCAGCAATTTGGGTCACTTGGGCTTGAAGGGCCGTAATTGAATCTAACTCCAACACTCCGGGAACTTTCTTGGCTCCACTAACCGTCCTCTCGCTTGACTTGGCAAACCGATTTTGTGCAATTTGATCCAACAGGATAAATGCATCCGGTATCGATTGACTCGTGAAATTTCCCCCGGTTGATGTATCTAAGACAGTTCGTGCATTCTCATTAATCCATTGGTAGAAGATGTGGATTTGCCGCCATTGTTCGACTCCATGTGTTGGACACTGCCGCAAAAGAGTTTTAAATCTCTCCCATGCCTCGTATAATTGCTCACCTTGCTCTTGGACGAAATTATGAATTTCTCGTCGGATTCTCTCGTCCTTCTCGGGTGAGCTATAAACTTTCATGAAAAGGTTGAGGAGTTCAGGCCACGACGAGATAGAGTGGGGGGCTTGGGACATCAACCACTGACGAGCTCTTCCTTGTAATGAGTGCTTGAAGAGAATTAATTGAAGCGCCTCTTGGGAAACGCCGTTTTGACGGTGGGAATTACAGGTATCTAGAAAATTGACAATGTGAAGATGGGGATCTTCACCTGCCAATCCACTAAATAGCCTGTTATTTTGGAGCATCATCAAGAGGCCTTGCTTGATCTCAAAATTGTGCGCCTCAATGGGTGGATATTGGATGCTCGGGCGGAATCCGTCTAGAGTTGGGATTATGTAATCTTGAAGTGCCCGTGGCCTAACTGCTGGCTGTAACGGAAGTTGAGGGGGTGGGTCTTGGATGCGAATTCCATTCGCACCGAGTAAATGACCCTCTGCATCTATGCGTTCTTCGTCTGCCATTATATTGTTTGCACGTTGACGTCCCCTAGCGGCTCGAAAAGTACGTTCGATTTCGGGATCAAACGGTTCTCTAGCAAGATCGAGTCTCCTACGTATCCACAGTACATAAAAAAAATTAAAAAAAATAAAAATTAAATGGGTGAATCGTGAAAATTGTTCAAATCTAGAGCTAGAATAAAATAAATAATTAAAATATTCCCCGACAACGGCGCCAAAAACTTGTTGGTTGAAATACCTACACGCAAGTGCACGTATCGTACAAGTAATATAGTGGACAATTAAGTCCGGATATCGAACCCACAGGGAATATTTAATTCCTTAATCCTAGACGCTAAATTCTACCAATTATTATCAAGCCCACCCTGCACAGTCGACTTTAGAAAGAATTAACAAGATTAAAATAAATTAAAAAGCAAATTAAAACGACAAAGCAAGAAAGCAAATTAAACACGAAGATTAATCAAAGTAGACAAGCCTAGGATTTTATTCTCCCCCCTATGTGATTATTATTCCCCCAATTCCTTCAATTATGCAAGCAATTAACCCGTATTATTAACCTAAGATGCTAAAATAATCATAACCCACTTCCGCGTGTATTACGATTCTAATACTCTAGATTCAATTACTATATTCCTTTGCAATTAATTCTAGAACACAGCATTAAGCACAAATTTCAATAATGGCTACCTAAGAGATTAACTATATTTCCTATGTTAATACCAAAAAGGCTCTTCTACCACAGTTCTAATTATTAACCCGATCTTCCGATTCATGCGATTAACAATAACATAAAAGCACATAAGGTGATCAAGTTCATGTACTTAATAAAACAAGTAGGAGAAATAATCTGGAATTAAAACTTGCATAAAATCATAGAAAAGGGTTTATAAATCACACATAGGGTTCCAAATAAAATCCTAGAAATAAGAAAATTAGCTACTCATGATTAAAGGAAAAACGCAAATAAAATAAGTCATAAACGATAAATCTATGCTTAGAGTCTTCGAATTCTTCGTCTTCGTTATTGCTTTGTTGCTCTTGAAATTGCGTAAAAAGATCCCCAATTGTGTGCTTGGCTTGGTCTTATATAGGGTGAAAAACTTGGGAAGAAGGCAGTTTCCTTGTGCAATTAAAATCCCTTTACTGCGCTGCCTCGGGGTCTCGGACGGCCGTCCCACAATTTGAACTAAAACTCGGACGGCCGTCCGAGCTTTAAATCTTCAGAATTTTGATTTTTTAACTTTTGGCCCATATTTTCTCCAAAATTGCAGCTTTGACCCCATACTTTTCCAATTCTTCAATTTGTACCTAAAATACAATAAATCAACCTTTTAAGCACCAATTATCGTTAAAACACACCAAAAGCTCAAATAAAAAGGTACGATAAAGTGTAAAAATATACACTTAACAACATCCGATAATAACTCCTCCTTGTGCTGAAATAGACCTTCTCCTCTCCAGTTATGATCGACAAAAAAGATCGTTCACAAAACCGACACTTTCATTAGTGGGTGCAAGAATTGATCTGCCCACGAAATACTCGAGAGTGAAAAGGTTGGTCAACAGATCGGGATAGAATAACTCGATAAGATCCAAAAAGGGATATGCAGAATTACGAATCATCATGACATCGGGAATTTCAACTGTGGCATCACCGTCGTTTACCTCGCCAGCATCGCCATTGTCGATTCTCAATATGCAGTCCGCAAATTCTCTTATTTCATCTGCATTGGCGGAAGAGGATGACGACTCAAGTCTCATGTTCTTATTCAACTTCATAACATTACATTGTATCCACAATGGTGATGAATTGACTATAACATGAACAATGTCTTGTCTCGATGTTTTCAACGCAATTTGCAGAATTTGTCGAAAGTCCCTCCCAAGAACTACAACCTTGCCTCCGAATGGCATATCTGAATCAAGTATAGATTTCATTGTTTTGTCGAGTGCTTCGAAACACTACCTGTGCATCATGGGTGCCTCGTCCCATATGATTAGCTTTGCTTTAGAGAACAATTCTTCATGTGGACTCTATTAGTTTGTTGCTGCATGTGGAACTCTCATTTACAATTATTGGCAGTCCAAATCTCGAATGAGCAGTTCTGCCATCGGGAAGTAAAAGCGAAACAATACCACTGGAAGCAACATTTATAACTATTTCTCTTTTTGAACGGATAGCAGCCGATAGAGTTTTCCATATGAAAGTCTTTATTGTTCCTCCATGTCCATAAAGAAATAACAGTCCAACTCTGTCATTTGTAACAGCATCCATGATATCATCGAACACTTTTTTCTGCTCATCAGTAATGGATGAGAGGTATTTCTTAAGTTCTTCACGCATCGCATCAACGTCATAGTCCAAATCGTCGCGAAACAATCTATCTACCGTTGCGTCTGTCATCGACCCAATTGGAATCGACATTAAGGGAAAGTTACTCAAGTTTGTATTGTTGCTTTGCAATATGTTTTCTATTTCGATCAGAGCGTAGTTTCTCAAAGTATAGTCGGACACATGTGGACCTTCAATATAGTATAATATGAAAAATTAACATAATGTGGCGATAATAAAAATATATACTTTTATCAAACATGTGTAATAAATTGTGTAAAAGTGTAAGATGTATTCTCATACCTGAATTGGTACGACGTTGTTGCAGTCTGTATGCAATATCCTCGGCGAATTCCATACAGCAACACCCCCACACATATTCCGGCCTGCTCATTTTATTTGCGACCAAATGTACGACGAATAATCGTCTCACATAGTCACCACTGGCCCACTCGTTTGCCTCTTTTATGCCAGCTATGTACTGCTTGTCGTCGTCTAGCAGTCCCAACGCAAAGCACGCATCTTTGAAAGTTGGGTAGACGTGATCCTCGACTTTCCTAAGATCATCGTAACACGTGCAACCTCTTTAAAAGTTCAGAAACACTCTCATGTAGTAGTCTGCACCCCTTCCCCGCGATACATTGGTAACCCTTCCTATCGAGAATCCTATCTTTCTCGGCATCCAACAGCCAGCTTTTACCTTATTGACAAATTTATGTGGAAACTCTCCATACCTCAAATTTCTAGTTTCAGGGTACAACTTATTCGCATGGAACCAAGCAAGGAACATCGTTTGCTTCACAGTTAGTCTATTCAACACATCAACTAATGAGTCATTATCTGTAAACATCAACCTAACCGCCGGTGGGTCTCTAAAGTGAATGTCAAAGTTAAATAACCTCCAAGCAGCCTCGCATGCCGAAAGATATCCCCTGTCGTAATACATCTTTTTCTCATTGCAACTTTCTGGAGTTGCACCTGGATTATATGATTGATAAAATACCATCGTGACCCGATCGTGTCCTTTGTTGACGTACTTGAATAAGTATTTTATATACTTATTCTTGTTGCAGAACTCGACATTAATGTGTGCCCTGTACTTTTTCAGTAGAGCAAGGTTATAAGGCACGACGAAACCATTGTCGAGATATGTTTTCTTCTTAACCATTGTCCTCCCATTTTCTCTTCTTCTATACACCGGATAACCATCTGCATCGGCATTAGTACGGTTGACAAAAATCTTTGGAAATCGCTTCGTGCAAATCTCGTCCTTCATGCATGGAGAGTTTTGATTAGGCAGACTGCACGGGCCGTGAATCGCATACTTCTCAACCAAATCGTGCATCTTACAGTCTGTTACCTTATCTGGGATTTTGGCACAAATGATTTTATCTATGTCTTTTGATGTCTTCGGTTTGTCTTCACTGTGAAGCCAAAGCAATATGTGCGCATGCGGGAGACCGCGTTTCTGAAAATCAATTGTGCAGACATCTGAAAATTTTACATTTTAAACGTATTTGGTATAAAAAAATTGTATACCGCGTTTTCAAATTGTATAAGAAATTGTATACCGCGGGAGACCGCATTTTCAAATTGTATACAATTTTTTTCAATGATTGACGCAAGAGTATATTTATACTATTATAAGAGTAGACAATGTGTAAAATATATAATATGTTATATTTTTAACTTATAAATTGATACTTAAATGCTCTAATGCGAGCAAATATTTTGCCCTTCTTCAAATCTAATATCAGACTGTCGAGCCTCGTCTTAAAAACTCGAGCAAGAATATCGGGACGGTCTTCAGGTCTCAAATTAGTACTGATCAACGCCCTTTGTATTTCCGGCCATTGTGGATTGCAGGTAGTAGTGATGAACAACGATGGAAATCCAATACAATTGTATATTTGAATAGCATCGACGAAGTTGTTAAACATGTATCCGTGGATCTTGGGTAAAAATGCCTGGTAGAATAACCCTCATACCAATGGGTCTAGCATCCGTATGTCCCTTCAAAATACTTTCCCCGATACCCTTGTACATGTCAACTCAACTTATCCTGGTTAAATCTTATAAATTTCAGTCTTTCCGATTCAACCATTAAAAATGCATCGACCATGAATTGTTGGGACAATTTTTTTGAGTACAAAAGAACCGCGTTGTCGCCAAATCTTTTCTAGATCCTGTAAGCAAAATATTGTCATATGGTTAACTTGTTACGTGTAAATGTACCACTCGCATGGTTAACTTGTTACGTGTAAATGTACCACTCGCTGATGTTTCCCTCAATGGTATATCATCTCTATACCCATCCTTACCGTAAGGAAATATTAACGGATACTGCAGTGGAAGATATAGGGGGTGCAACTCACTGATTCGCTGGAGCCTTTTCGACTGTGTCTCGACAACTATGTCTCTAACACCCCCCCTAAGTGTCAAAATTACCAACAATGAGTCCTGCGATTTCACTAGACATCGGCAGATTGTAAGTACAGCCATCCGTACTCCTTTTCTTTATGAATTTTAATTTGACATCTTTCATTCCTGTCTGTGAGAGTCTGTCTCAGGCAGCTCTGTAAGACTGAGCAAGCACATTTGAGCTGTCAACCATATCCTTCAATGTAGAAAAAATTTCAGGATCCAATTCGTTGGAACTGTCTCAGGATCTACAACGATAAAATCAAACGTAAAGTAAATGCCTTGTCAAATATATATATAAAAAAAAGAACATATAACTGAAAGTGATTTATACCTGACAACATCCATTTGATTCTTGACTTCATTCTCCGTATCAAATATATAAAGTTGAGCAAACTTGGGACACGATCCTTCATCTGGCAACAAACTACCCATTAAATGGTAGTTTTAGCCATGCAGTAGAAACGTGTACGGACCGGACCCTCTATTTATCGTAGTATGTATCTTTCCGCCAAAGAATGTGAATGAGAACATCATATTATACGAGTGTATGTGTTCTTGGAAATGCTTGCTTCTTCGATCGGTACCAAATAGGAGAATCTTTAGGAGATTTGGTGCTTCTATTAAATTGGGCAATTCGACTTTTGCTCCGTTACAGCAGATTGAAAACTTAGGATTTGATGTACCATTTTTCTTATCGATCCTTTCCCCATACCACATCACTGCGCTACGTGATTGGCATTTGTACGACTGGTCACCAAGATCATCGTATTCTACGCAGGACAAAGACATTCGTTGTTACGATGAAAACGACATGTTATCATACTTAATTAATATTGGACTACTTACCATCATCATAATCATTAAAAGGTTTCGTCATTTGATACATATTCCGATTCTATTTAAATAAAAAAAACCATAATGATATCAATTGAATATTACGAACCATTTATCTACGACGAATTTTACGTCATAATTGTGAACATACCTCCATTGTCCGAAGTAATTTTCCGTATAGTCTGTAAATATTCATCGACCAAAGTGACAGATGTTGAATCCATATCCAAACCACATGCAACAATATGAATGGTTTTTTTGACACTTCAATATCCTCTTTCTGGCATGAACCGAAGAACTGTAAATTATTCAATAATTAAAAAAAATATTATACTTTTACTATATTGGATACGGTAACATATTAACAATAAAGCTGTGTTACATACTTGTATTAATTTTGTGACTCAGACATATTACGAAAATATACCTTTAGTTGGTTTCGTAGTATTTATCAGCATAAGTATTTTGCACACTGCCGATGCTATGTATCCCATCTATCTCTTAAGGACTGTTGGAAATATTATTTAAGACATTCGTAAGAAAATGTTGAATAATTCTTTTAATGATGCTAAGTAATCAATTGCGTGTAAACCTTCATAATTTGATGCAGTATTGTTATATGCCATCTCACGATTTCTCTTATAACTTTTTTTGTCATTTGTATATGTACATGACATACTTTTATCATTTAGAGTTCGAATTTTTCCTTTATACTGGGCAACTCTCTTGACAGTGTATTCCAAATATGTTTACATAAATAAAAGTATCATCCTTTAGAATAATTTATATATTAAATTATGTCACATATTTGTTATATATATATATATATATATATATATATATATATATATATATATATATCATGCATGTGTGTATATATAAATGTAAATATAACTACAGTTTGATTTTCGTCATTACAAATGGTAATATTGTTCGTACCTGTTATTGCGACATATTTCACAACGCTTCCACTGTGCATGTCAGTTCTAATTACTGAAATACATTCCAGTAATTTAATTCATTTAATACTGATGTATTTATATTAAAAAATGTAAGGCGAATTAAGTAACATGAAATGTATGTAAAATACGAATATACTAAATAATCATTACCATTTGTAATATCGAATAGGATTAAATTGTTGGGTGTAGTCGGTGATGTTGTGTTATTTGGTGTATATAATTCAAGATCTTTGAATCAAATTCCAGCTCTCTGCCTAGATCGAAACTTCTCTGTGTTGTAAAAGTTTGATTTATCGATTAAAATTCGCAAGAACCTCCATTTTTTTCGAATGATATTTGACTGAATGTATATAATAATGATGCACAATACTAACTTTTATTAATTGAATATTGTTAAATGATATTTAAAGTAAACATTTATATTAACTGAACGAATAAATGCATAATTTAATTGACCTCAGGGGTCCATTGACTTATTTTCCTTGTCATTTCTAACCGTTTGCATATTATGAGTGTATTCATCATCTGTATGAATAAATTAAAAATATTATTACATCCAATGATACATATATTATTGTATAACAAACGTAGGTAAACACATATTGACAATAAATAAATAAAAATTAACAAAAATAGAAAATAAAGAAATAAAAAAATGATACCAACCATTTGTCATATCAGATAGAATTAAATTGTTTGTTGTGGTTGGTGTTTTCATAATATTAGATGGACACAATCCATCATTTTTAGTTCCATTTACGCAGCCACGGATCGATTGAAACTCCTTCGTGGTCTCATTATTTGATTTATCTATCAAATAAGACCCATATGAGAGTAACATATTAATAACATGATTCGTAAAATTAGGATTTTTGTAACTTTTGTATATTAACCTCCGTGTGTTGTTCTCCACCCACTAATTAGTTCCTAATTTTAAGGATGGGCAAGGACCTTAAACAGTAATGAAATAACAACACTTATTCCAAATTACATAAACATTAATAATATAATAAAGTTATTAGAGTTTACAGATAGTATCTGAAATCAACAAGGGATGAAATTCTTTAATGTAACATTTGAAAAATAATCTCTACATATGAATATTCCTACACGTGAGTGATTCAAGATAAAAACATTCTACGGATAACAAATGAACTTTTAAAAATAGAATTATTGAGTCAAACATTAAATATTAATTCAAATAAATAAATAGTGCAAAATACCCAAAACAAACGAAAAGTAAAAGGTCTTATCGAATAAAACCACGAACTAAAACACAGTTCGACCGAGAAAAAAGTTTTTTCAAAGGAAACAATAAGTCATTCTTAAAATCAAGGTTGTTATTCCGCTTTTTCCTCTTTGATCTTCTTCGAGAGAGCAGTGGTCGAATGCATTGGGTTTTCTCATCCTCTTGCGAATGCAGACTGAAATCCAAACTTCTCTTTATTGGAGTGACTTCAACTGCCTAGGAATCGAAAACTAAATCCTTGGAAACCGTTAAGGACTCGTTTTCCTAGATTGAAATGTTACATATTCCATTAATAAAATACCGTTGAACGGGGCGTTGTGAATTAATACTAATGTCTTAGTAAATTGGAAACTACCAACCTTTGATGACAACATACATACCGAAGAAATATCATCAACACTTGCATGGGGTGAAGTAGTATTAACTTGGTGTATATACATATTAAACTTGAAATATTGTAATCGGATATAAGAAATGAAAACTATGTCAGAGAAAATAATATTAAATTTAATACTTCTTCCAACTGGTACTTATGAATGAATAAGTAATAGCATTGTCGTTCCAGATTATTAGAATACTATAAGTAGAATTTTCAGGGTGATAAATGTTATTGTGTTTGACTAGGGGTGAGTCGGGACGGGATTTCGGGAATTCGGGATTTTCGGGATCGGGATTTCGGGATTCGGGATAGAATTTTTAAATCCCAATCCCGTCCCATACTATTAAATCCCGATAATATCGGTATCCCTAAATATTTCGGGAATTCGGGATTGGGATCGGGAATCCCATATTTTGCCTAAAACACTAAGAAATATTGTTTTTTTTTTCCATTAGTATTATTTTATACACTAAACCAATTTGAATATATTATATACATACTATTGTTCTTGCACTATTTAGTTTTACCACAAAACTTGGAACAAATAAAATTTTAAAATTTTAAAAATAAGTTGAAACGATATATTATATTGTATTTCTCATATATATATATATATATATATATATATATA